GGCAGCCGACTGCGTCCGCCGGTGCCAGCGGGCATACGCTTCGCTTCTCCCCAGCGCTCAGGGTGAGTTTCCACCAGCGCCCAGCCTCCGGGCGGGGACCGCTCGGCCCCCCGCAGCCAGCACCCGCAGGTGAGCGCTACCGCCCGCGCCCCTGCTGTCCTGGGCGCGTGGATTGTCCGTCGCTATGGAAACAGCTGGTGCCCAGACGGCGCCTGCACTGGAGGGGAAGGGGCGGTGAGGGCAGCTCCGAACCCTGAGAAGCCTGGAGCCCGGTGCCTGGCCAAGCGGAGCCACAGAAGCCTGTGGATATGGGACCCCCTCTCCCCCTCTTACTTCTCATTTTTGATGGCTCTGGCGTTGGCGGTTAATCAGAGGCGTGGATGTGTTTACAAGATGTTAAGTTGTGTTCTTTCCATCTTTACCTTCTGAGGGCTTCTTACGCCTCTCGGTGACGGGTGCAAATCATGACACAAAAGGGCAGTCTGAAGCCAGTGAAGAAGAAGAAAACCGAAGAACCTGAATTGGAGCCCTTGTGCTGCTGCGAGTACATAGATCGGAATGGGGAAAAGAACCACATGGCTTCTTGTTTGTGTGATTGCCAAGATCTGGATGAAGGGTGCGATAGGTAAGAACACTGCGCTTTCCCGATGCGACCCCACCGGCCCTTCCGAGAACTTCCGTCTGTATTTTAACCTTAGCCACCAGGATGCTAGAATTTGCTCTTGATTCTATTTCCAAGCGTCTAAAATGAGAGTTGGCTTCTATGTGAAGTGTGAGGATTTTATAAAGGTAAATTACGCAGTAGTACACGGAGGTTTGTCCAGCTCAGTTTACTAGGAGATTATCATTTTCATTTAAGGAGAGAAGATGACAGAACTGCAGATGAAAGGATAGCAGGCAAGTTAGTATTCAAAACAAAATAAAGGCAAGCCGGTAGAATCTGTAAATTTAAAATGCGCACAGTTCCAGAAAGTCCCTGCATTTGTGGCCTCAGCATTTAGAGACTGACTACTTAGGATTGAGTTTAACCTGGCCACAAAAGGCTTCAGAGTTTGAAAAATCATTGTCATGCTGTTGGTACTGGTGTCACCCCTTGCTTCTGGGGAGGAACTCCAGCCAGAAGGCATGTGTTTCCCTTGGGTTGACTGTTTTCTTTGTGAACAGCAATATTGTCGTGATTGATATATTGCATTTGGCTTTTATTTTCACCACTATCCCAGTGATGGAAATCACTATCTAAAAAGGTAATTTTGTACCAAATAGTAATAACCTGGTTTTTATCCATTTCATAAATAATTGTATATTTAAAAATTATTATATGAAAGGCATGATGTGAGGAGAATTGGAATGTGGGAAACTTGCTTTCCCATAGGTAATTACTTCTGGTTTAAAAAGTCATTGTGACTGCGTATTGCCATCCATAGGGCTTGGTGCATTAATACAGCCATAAAAAGCATTCCCCAGGGACCACTGCAGTCTTGTACCAACCTTGACTCCTAAAGACCCCATTATTCTGTTGTGATCCTTCTTTGATAGTGTTTGCTATACATCTTTTTTACAGGTGTCTTTAACAATAGGTTCTTTAGACTTAGGCTTGAAAATGGAGCACTTTACACTAATGAGGAGAAATGACGCCGTTTCCATAACCACCAGCACTCAAGACCGCAGCTCTCCATTAACCTTGCTAACTCTTCCCTCCTGGTTCTGGAGACCTCTATATCCTATATCCTCTGGAGAAAGGTGTCCAGTGCTTCCCCTGTCCCTGCTGCTCTTTGTCACTCCCATATGGTTAATCTTCAGTTCATTTCCAGGTTCTCATTCTACTTTTTAAAATTGTCTGTAATTGAAGTTATCTTTTCTTAAACTCTACCTTTCCTCACTAGCTTGTCTTTTATTCAGGCTGCTTTGATAAAGTGCCGTAGATAGAGTAATTTAGAAACAACATAAATTTATTGCCTACAGTCCTGGAGCCTGAGAAACTGAAGCTCAAGGTGCCACCAGATTATTTGGTGCGACCTTCTTCCTCATAGGTAGTGCCTTCTTGTTGTGTCCTTAAATGGTGGAAGGGCAGAACAGGGTCTTTAGTTCTCATTTACTGATACGGTTTCAATGCTTGACCCCCTCCAAATCTCAAGGTGAAATTTGGTCCCTATTATTTGAGGTGGAGCCAAGTGAGAGGTGTTTGGATCACAGGGGTGGATCCCTCCTGAATGGCCTGGTGCCCTCCCCATGGTAATGAGTGAGTTCGTAGAGAGCTGGCACCTCCCCCCTCCCACCTCTTCTTTTCACCATGTGGCCTCCTCCTCCTTGGTCTTCTGTCTTGAGGAAGCTTCCCGAAGCCCTCACAAGAAGCGGATGGTGGTGCCATGCTTCTTGTATAGCCTGCAGAACCATGAGCCAAATAAAACTCTTTTATATACCAATTAACCAGTCTCAGGTATTTCTTTTATAGCAATGCAAACTTTAGACTAACACAGGTACTAATCACGTTCATGAGAGATCCACTTTCATGATTTAATCATCTCCTAAAGGCCCTGTTGGGAATTAGATTTCAACTTAATAAATCTTGGGGGGAGTACATATTTAGACCATAGCACTCCACCCCTGGCTCTTCAAAATTTACATCCTTCTCATATGCAAAATACATTCATTCCATCCCAATGGCCCTCTTAACTCATTCTGGCATCAACTCAAAAGTCTACTGTTCAGAAATCTGAATATCATTGTCTAAATCAGATATGGGTGGGACTCAAGGGAAGATTCACCCTGAGGCAAATTCTCCTCTAACAGCCTGTGAAATCCAACAAGGTATGTGTTTCCAAAATACAAAGGTGGGACACAGTATAGTTCTAAAAAGGATCAACAGGAAAGAAGAAAGGAGTGACAAGTCCCAACCCAACAGGTCAAACAAGTCTTAAGGTTTGAGAATAATCTTTGACTGATGTCCCTCCTGGAGGGAAATTGAGCACCCAAGGCGAAATTGTCACAGCTTTGCTGAGTACAGCCAAGACCACAGCTGTTCAGGCTAGAATTGCACACTGGTGGCTCTACGAGCTTGGGGTCTTGGGAGCGACGCTGACCCTACCCCACCGCTGCATTGCCTCAGAGGGGGCTCTCTAGAATGCCCCCACACTCATGGCTCCCCTGGGAAGTGCCCTGATGGGGGCTCTCTGGTGGCAATTCCCTACTTCAGCCCCAGGGCACCCCCAGGGCATCCGTAGAAATCTAGTGGAGGTAGTCATGCCTGTGTAGCTCTTGTACTCTGTGCCTGCGGAGAGTTGGCACTGTGTGGATACTGCTCTTCAGAGAGGTAGCCACTGTGGTGTGCATGGTAGCTAGACCCACTGGAGCCACAGCTGGAGCTGCCATGGAGTGTGGCAGCAGAATGGAGGGAGCAGAGACTTGCGGTGTGCCAGGCAGTAAGCCCTGAGCTCCCCTGGGTGTCCCTGGCCCCTCCTATGAAATCATTCTCCCCTCAAGGCCGTGGCATTCTGGGTTTGATGAATAGCATGGGGTGGATCCTTACTGATCCCCCTTATCCACTGCCTTGCTGTTCTCTCCAAAACACACTTTCTTGTTTGTTACTATATAGACAGGCTGAGAAGGCTAAGAATTTTCAAAATCTTTTAAGTTCTGCTTCCCTTTGATTGTAAATTGTCTTTAAGTCATTTGTCTCTTCTTGAATTTTATTGTAAGCATTCTAGAGAAGCCATGCAGCATGCTGAATGCTCTGCTTAGAGATTTATTCTGCCAAATATTCAATTTTATGGCTCTTGGATTCTACTTTATTCAGAACACTAGGATACATGCAGTTCCACGTAGTTCTTTGTCACTTTAAAACAAAGATGGCCTTTCCTGCACCTTCCAGTAGGATGTTCCTCATTTCCATCTAAGATCTTGTCAGAATGGCCTTTACTGTTGATATTTCTACCAACTTTTTGCTCTTGACCTCTTTGGTAATCTCGAAGATTGAGGCTTTCCCTCTACAGCCCTTTTCTTCTGCACCCTTGCCAGAATCACCCTGTTGTTTCATAGTGGCGCAGGTGGTTTTCCCAGCATACAGTTCAGAACTCTCAGCCTCTACCCATTACTCAGTTCCAAAGCTGCTTCCACATTTTTAGATATTTGTCATAGCAACACCCACATCTCTATCAATTTCTGTCTCAGTCCATTTGGGCTGCTATAACAAAATACCTTGGGCTGGGTAATTTATAAACAACAAATTTATGGCTCATGGATCTGGGGCTTGGCATGTCTTAAGTTAAGGGGCCAGCAGATTCATTGTCTGGTGAGGGCTCTCGCTTTCTGCGTCTATGACACATGAGGCACTGTCTTGCTGTGTCCTCATGTGGTGGGTGGGCTGAATAAGTTTCCTCAGGCTTCTTATAGAGTCACTAATCCATTTAAAAGGGCTCTGCCCTTATGACCTATTTGCTTCCTAAAGGCCCCCCCTCTTAATACTATTGTATTGGGGATTGGGTTTCAACGTGAATTTTGGGGAGGACACAAATGTTTAAAACATCATATAGTCCAAGTGTCCAAAAAAGTCAACAAATACCACTGTTTACCTATTTCAGTCATTTGACTCATACTATTAATACATGTAGTTTGACCTTCAGCCTTCCTTGTGTAGACCCCTGGCCCTGGTAGACTGCTTTTTCCCCTAGATCTAGCCCAGGTTTTGTGCTGTACATATTTCTTTCCACCAGAAAGCTTCCCTCCCTCTCCATCCATACAAGTGCTCGGTGACCATCAGGGTTGAGCACAGATCTTACCTTTCCACAAAGACCCCCTGATGACTCCACCCAGAAGTACTGGACTGTCGCCTGACTGTGCCTTAGGATGTTTGATCATAAGAGTTCTTTGATGATTGCTGCTTTGTCACTCACCTAGTATTTTTGAATCTCCATGTTGTCTTCACAACTAGATTGTGAGGTTTTTTTTTTTGAGATTCTTAGGACACAGGTGTGTAAACATAATTTGTATGGAGTATGGGCATATACCTATGTATTTGTTTAGTGGGGAATGCTTTAGTGAAGACTGTTAAGTTTCTAAACATTATTTTCTTGTTCCTATTTAAAAAAATGACATGTGAGTCTGGAAAGCTTGTGTTTAGTAAGACACTCGGCCTTTGGTCTCTTTTATCGTTTTTGATATTCTGTGGTTTTTAATTCAGTAAACCCATATGAAGTCCCTTCTCTTTGTGCTCTTTCTGAATAGATGGATTACATGTAAATCTGTGCGGCCAGAGACTTGTGAAAGAATCATGGATACAATTTCTGATCGCCTCCGAATTCCTTGGCTTAGGGGAGCCAAAAAAGTTAACATCAGCATCATTCCTCCCCTGGTCCTCCTGCCTGTCTTCCTGCACGTGGCTTCCTGGCACTTCCTCCTGGGGGTGGTGGTTTTGACCTCCCTTCCTGTGCTGGCACTGTGGTACTACTACCTCACTCACAGAAGGAAAGAACAGACTCTGTTTTTCCTGAGCCTCGGACTGTTCTCACTGGGCTACATGTACTACGTGTTCCTGCAGGAGGTGGTCCCCAAAGGGCGTGTGGGCCCCACTCGGCTGGCTGTTCTGACCTGTGGGTTATTTCTGATACTCTTAGCCTTGTACAGAGCCAAGAAGAATCCAGGCTACCTCAGCAATCCCACTAGCAGGGAGAGATCTCTAAGTGGCAGCCAGTTGGAATGCCCGGACAGAAAAGGGCAGGAGAAGACCAAAGGCTTCCCCGGAGCAGACACATCAGGAAGTCTCAATAACCGCACGCTGAAGGATGACCTGAAGGGCTCTTCCAGGATGTTGGCTGCAAGTCCCACTAAGGTGAAGGAGGACTGGTGTGCCAAGTGTCAGCTGGTGCGGCCGGCCCGGGCCTGGCATTGCCGGATATGTGGCATCTGTGTGAGGCGAATGGATCATCATTGTGTCTGGTATGTTGGAAAAATTTGGAGACTTTGAAAGTGTAAATGCATGGGAAACTAGCCGCATTTGATCCTCTTTTGTGCTATCCTAAAATTTTTCTGCTTCCCAGCTTTACACCTTGTAGATATTTGTGGGCTGCTAGGATGTTCCCACTTAGTCATCAGTTTTTCGAGTTTCACAAATTTAGTTTCTTCAGTCATTTCCGGAAGAAGAATAGAAAACTCGTGGGGTATTTTTTGTAATTTTCTTTTGAATGCTCTTCATTTAGCTCTTACTTTCTAATAGAGAAGTATCTACAGTGGAGTGATTTTTTTAAAAAAGAATTTATCAGAATCAGTGTAGGCACATTGGCCATGCAATTCCTTTTTTTTTTTTTTTTTTTGAGACGGAGCCTCAAGCTATCCCCTGGGTAGAGTGCCATGGCATCATGCTCACAGCAACCTCCAACTTCTGGGCTCAAGCGAGTCTCCTGCCTCAGGCTCCCAAGTAGCTGGGACTACAGGCGCCCGCCACAACGCCTGGCCATTTTTTGGTTGCAGCCATCATTGTTGTTTGGCGGGCCCGGGCTGGGGATTCGAACCTGCCACCTTAGGTGTATGTGGCTGGCGCCTTAGCCACTTGAGCCACAGGCGCCGAGCCGCAATTCCGTTTGAATACAGAGCTCAAGAAAACATAGCCCTATTTTTAGGTGACTATTCTGTCCTCTTGCCATACATCTTTAATCATTTTTTTGATGCTACTGGTGATTTTCACTGACCGTTAGAGAGTTGAGGCCCTACCATAAACTATTTGGTTATTTGAGGGAGAGATGAGTCTTCTTTCCTACCTTCCATCTGGCCAGTGACAAATGAAAACACATAAAGCCCATTAGATGTAAAGTGTGACATTTCAAGGTAATGCTGCAGTTTTACTGAGTAAATCTAAACTAAAGGGAGTGTCATTCATTCCTATGGTACTGTCAGTAGCGTATTTGCTGGTTTCTTGCTCTTCAGGCAGTGTGGTCAGTGAGTCATGCTTGTGTCTAGATTGTGGCCCTCTAGCATCCCCCCCTCAGAAGGGGACGTAGGAGAGTGTGAATGTGTGGGAAAGGCCAAGAGGGCATCAGAGCAGACTTCAAGAGTATGGCTCAAGTACAGGGACAGCGTTTTTCTGGGACTTTGTCTTTAGAAGTAAACAGGTGTTTTCCTTTTTGGGTATTCTAGAGTGTCTTCATCATTCAGTCCCTTGTGTGTGTTGAGGGTGGGGTGTCCCTCTTTGGAAACCCAAGTGCTGGCTTTGCTGAGGTCCTGAAAACCTCACCTAACAGTAGGTCTCCCACCTCAGGGTCCCAGTGTGCCAGTGTGTACATCCTGCCCTACAAATGGCTGTGACATAAAACTGTTTTTGCCTGATAGATAGCTGGCTTGTTAACAAGTTGTGTTCCACCTCACACCATGTTTCCGACCTTTTTGGATGGTTTTATTACTCCCTACATATTTAACCCATGTTTTCCCACACTGTCACAATAGGACTGTCGTCAGAGGACTTAGCATTTTTAGTTTTTATAACTGTACTGTTTGTCCCCTTTTCCTTAGCATGCTGGTGACAGTGTCAACTCTCTTCATAGCTGGGCAGCAAACTTCACTTACCAGTGCTTAGAAAGATTTGTTAGTGAGGTTCTGCTTTTTGTTTTGAGACAGAGTCTTACTATGTCGCCCTCAGTTGAGTGCCCTGGCATCACAGTTCACAGCAACCTCAAACTCGGGCTTATTCTTTTGCCTTAGCCTCCTGAGTAGCTGGGGCTATAGGCACCCATCACAACACCCGGCTATTTTTTGGTTGCAGTTGTCATTGTTTAGTAGGCCTGGGCCTGGCTCGTATCCGCCAGCTTCGGTGTATGTGGCTGGCGCCCTATTCTCTGAGCTACAGGTGCCGAGCCAGGTTTGCTTTTTTATTTAGTTTTGTCCTTAAACTAATGATAAGATTCTACTTTGCAAAGAGCAGAGAATATGGCTGGGTGCGGTGGCTCATGCCTGTAACCCTAGCACTCTGGGAGGCTGAGGCAGGTGGACTGCTTGAGCTCAGGAGTTGGAGGCCAGCCTGAGCAAGAGCAAGACCCTGTGTCTACAAAAAACAAAAAAACTAGCTGGCATAATGGCGGGTGCCTTGGGTGGCTAAGGCAGGAGGATTGCTTAAGCCCAAGAGTTTGAGATTGCTGTGAGCTATGATGATGCCACAGCACTCTACCCAGGTTGACAGAGTGAAACTCTGTCTCAAAAAAAAGGTGGAAGGCAGAGAATATAAAACTGAGTTTGTCTGCGGAAAAGTTTTAATTCCCTAAAATTGAAAAATAAGAGAACTTTCTTTTTAATAAGTGAAATTCACACTGTCCCTATTTTAAAAGCTTTCTTTTTTTAACATAAAGAACTTTTAAAAACACGTTTGCCTTTCTTTCCTCTGTGCTGTTTTGAGGATAAATAGCTGCGTTGGAGAATCAAATCATCAAGCATTCATACTTGCCCTTTTGATCTTCTTGCTCACCTCGGTGTACGGGATCACACTGACCTTGGACACCATTTGTAGAGATAGAAGTGTCTTCACAGCTCTCTTCTACTGCCCTGGAGTTTATGCAAACTACAGGTGAGTTGTGGATCTAACAATATAGAGGCCCACAGAGGAAGTTGCCATTAAGGGTGGCTGTTACATACCGCTGGCCTGGCAGTTCTCAACCGAAGCATCTAAGGTAATGTCAGAAGGATGTTAACCCTTAAAAAATAAGGAGGAAGTAGTCTACAAACAGAAGCAGGCTTACTCAGGGGCTTCCAGGGTTAGACAACTGCTCATATGTACACCAGGGTAGCAACAGTGAAAGTAAAACAACAAATAACCAGGGCCTATTTGTCATAGTATCAAGAATCTCTTCTCACTTAGTGCTGGATTCTGGTACTTGTTAGCCCAGTCTTAATTCACTACTTCTGACCCTTTTAAGAAGCACTCAGTGTGTCTGTAACCTTTCTTTTCTTTCTAACCTCCTCTTGGCTTTTCCTGTTCTACTTTTTTTTTTTTAATCACCACTCATGATTACTGTGGTATGTAGGTCAATATTTCCTTAGGCATTGTTAGGTCGGGGCCCATTTATACATTGTGAGGATCCCTGAGCTATGACACAAGCTGGGATTCTTCAGCTTCAGTCCCTGCCACCTCTCTCCTGAATGCCAGGGATCCCCTCTGCCCTTATTTATTTCTTTCCTTGTCTCTGCTGTCTTCCTGACGTGGGAGCTCTCTGGTTTGATCCTTTTCTTTCTTCCCACTCTTCATTTTCAGTATTCCCCTACGGCCTTTGTTTATGTTAGTATGTGGATAGATCTCAGCATTGCCATTCTAGCTCTAGACATTAATGGGCATTATCAGAATAGATTAGATTGATCCTCTTCCTCAGGTAAGTTTCTTTCCTAGCTATGTGGAGAGTTTGTGAAATTCTGCCCTAAAACCATGGGTGCTAAGTGTCCTAAGGCAGAGCAAGTCTCCACCTTCAGTGAACTGAGGAGCACAGTCCTGCCGTTGGTCCTCACCCTGCTCTGGAGGGGATTCGCATCACCTCATCTTTATGGTGAGGTCCTTGGATTTAATCATCTCCAAAGCCCTTCAGCTTTCCGAGTAAAGCTTCTGGATGAGTTTTATTTCCAGGCAATGCTTAATTTGGGATTATTTGAATGAAAATAATCAAATGGCAGATGCTAAATGGCAGCCCCTCCTCATGGTCTCATTCATGCCTGGGTCTCAATCACCCTCTCCTGCCCTGGGTGATTCTGTTTGGCTTTGGGAAGCCAAGTTTGGGATGTTACGATGTTCCTGCACCTCTTATAGGTAAGCAAAGGGCCAGGAATGTTGGGAGTTTTCTTCTTTGTGTTCCCCAGCACTTGACTGAAAAGAATGGAGATTAACAACTTTAGCACTGTTCCTAGGTGCCCACCTGATGCTTCCTTGGAGATATTTATAGCAGTCTCATGGTGCCTTTGTTTTCTCAGGCATTAGGTACAATTGAGGAGTTATTCATTCAACAAACAAATGTTGAACACTATTATGTCAGGCACTCTGATGGTTGTATGGAGGACACAGAGTACAAACAACAGTTCTTGCTATTCTAGTGTAACACAGTAGGAAAAGCACCCGTAATTTAGAATAAAATAGAACATGTCAATTTTCCTATGTTAGGGCATTGACATTCTGAGTATCTTCCAGAGAGTTGGGGAAAGTGCCAAAGTCCTTAGTAATAAGTACAAACAAAATGTATAAAATGATAGCATGATGATAGCTTTCTCAGTGTGACAAAAACAGCAGCCCTGATGGGCCTTTGCTCCCACCCAGCTCAGCCCTGTCCTTCACCTGCGTGTGGTACTCTGTGATCATCACAGCGGGTATGGCCTACATCTTCCTGATCCAGCTGATAAACATCAGCTACAACGTGACCGAGAGGGAAGTCCAGCAGGCCCTCCGGCAGAAGACTGGGCGCCGGCTCCTCTGGGGGCTCATCGTGGACACAGGCCAGTACAACAGGGGCTTCCTGCGGAACTGGCACCAGTTCTCCACGCTGGGCACACGCGCGTTCCCCCACCCTGCCGAGGACATTGTCTGAAGTGCCTTCTGTGGGGCTTGCTGAGGGGCCGTGGCTCCTCCCTCCATCTCCCTTTCATTTTACACTTCAGTGTCCACGCGGGATGTTCATTTTATCCCAGTTTCTTAAAGGGAACATAGGGCCATGCTCAGGTTTAGAGACGGGACTGGGAAGAAGTTAATTTTTCTGACTTCACAACGTAAGAGGTTTTTATAGTGAAGCAGTAAAAGTAGAGCCATTCCTTGCCAGTCACCTTATTAATTGACTCAGTCACCAGAAGGTGGAAAGGATGTGGATTGCTAATGCACAAATTGAGAGAAGCAATTCCCATCCATTAGTGTGGGGTTTTGGATAGTTTCTAGTCCCTCTTTCAATTTTTAATAGCCATGTGACCCTTAGTTGAGTCACTTTCCCAAGTCTCAGGGTCATCTGTAAAGTGGGGTACTAATGCCTGCCATGGCTACCTCACGGAGCTGTTGTGGGGGTCACGTGAGGATGAGGGATATGGAAGGCACACAGAAACAACTAAAGCCCCATGAGATAGGAAGTATTTTTAGGAAAATCCTAAGACATAAGGAAAATGTTGCCGGGTATTGTGGCGGGCACCTGTAGTCCCAGCTACATGGGAGGCTGAGGCAAGAGAATTGCCTAAGCCCAGGAGTTGGAGGTTGCTGTGAGCTGTGATGCCACGGCACTCTACTGAGGGCAATAAAGTGAGACTCTGTCTCTACAAAAAAAAAAAAAAAAAAAAAAAAAAGAAGGAAAATGTTTATAGGTCAGACTATTGATGCCAATATTATTAGGGTAATCAGTTTTTAGCATATACTATGTTGTACAATTATGAGAATTTCAATTTCTCCTTCTAAGTATTAGACATTAACTACTCAAACAGAGTAGATGATGACCAGATGAATTCATGCTAGTCATCTGAACTTGAAAGGATAGTTGATAATTATAATTATTGCTAATGTAATGTACAGTGGTCATGAGTTTAGGTGATGAATTGTTATATATTTTTTTTATGTATGTCTGGATTTCCTGCGAGTAACTCCAGTAGGAGTTACTGTCTTTCCCCTCTTCCCCATATTCACCTGGTAAGGTGCTAGCACACATGATGGTAGCTAGAAGAGGAAAGCAGACACTGCTGTGGTAGCACTGCACTCTCTTTCCTGGGTAGAGAGGCTGATTACTATCAAGGGCTTACATTTTTTATTCACATAGTTCGAATGCTATTGTTATTAGCACTAAACTGCAAAAATCAGTCTTCTGTCTTTCACGTTATTCTGGCGTGAACGTTCTTTGAGGAGTTGATCAACATCTTCCTACTTAACTTGCACAATACTTCTCATTCACCCTTCCCTAAATAAAAGTATCTCGCTAGGAGAGAAAAAACAGGGTATATGTCGTTTCCACTAATTAATGGATTACTATTCTTCCCTGTCTCTTCCCCAACTACCAAGTTGTCCCTTTAATTATATCTTAAAACTGAAAATGTATAAAAGATTCAATATTTATTTATTGTAGAATGGGTCATTCTGCCAGAGAGTTAAGGTGAGGGAATTTCAGATGGGGGAAAATACTCTCTTGAAATGGTTAGTCTTATACATGAACTGTTTTGCAATCTCAAAGAAAATTCATGAGTCCTTATCTTTAAATTTGCCTTGGCTTATAGCTTAATATAGGGAAATATATTGCCAGATTTTTCAGTCACTCTGTGCATTCTGCTTTAGCAAGGGATTTATAAATGTTAAGAGGAAATATTACTGCTTCCTGCAATTCTGCCTTCCCAGCTAGCACCATCCCTAGTCTTGCCATTGTTTGGGGCTGTCCCTGAGATGTCACCACCTTGTTTTTATCCAGGCTTGTTGTTGCTCTCCCCAGAGATAGATTGTTTAATAAATGATATGCTCCATGTTCCCCTGGGGTGAACCAAAGAGCAAGCATGGGGATGTTCGCAGTTGCTGTGGTTTCTACAGTAATGCCCTCTCCCTGGCCCAGAATGGAATATTCATTTAGAGTGAAAATTGGATCAGAAATAACTTAATTCTTTCTGTACCAGTTTTAGGTAAGAGAGATAATGTCAAGGACAGCACATGTGTGATGGTGGCGCCTATGGATGAGTGGGTAGGGTGCTGGCCCCATATACCCAGGGTGGCAGATTCGAACCTGGCCCTGGCCAAACTGCAACAAAAAAATAGCCGGGCATTGTGGCAGGAGCCTGTAGTCCCAGCTCTTTGGGAGGCTGAAGCAAGAGAATCACCTAAGCCCAGGAGTTGGAGGTTGCTGTGAACTTTGACACTACGGCACTCCACTGAGGGCAATAAAGTAAGACTGTCTCTAAAAAAAGGACAGCACACGTGTGCAGAAATCAATAGTTGTCTCTCTTGGAGTGCCAGCTACATAGCCAATTCTGATTGGCTGGCTAGCAGTTGATAATAAAAATTGCACAAAAACATTAGTATAATGGTATTTTAGCTTCTTGCCAAATCCTTAACAACAATCATAATGTGATGTGATGAATAGTTCAAAAAGACCAAAGTCATTTGGATGAATTAGGAATGATTACCATCTGTCTAACAACTCACCCCTAATAGTATTAGCTGGCTGAGGTAACTTGAGTTTTCCTCACTTGGGTAGGGACTACTTGTATATTATTCTGGCTTATTGGAATTAAGGTGCTTGTTTTAAGTTCCTTGAGACTTACAATTAGCAGTTTACAGAAGAAAGTTCAAACCTGTTAAAAGATTGGTAGTTTTGTTTGGTAAAGTCATCTGAAGTATTTGTACCAAAAGGAACAGCAAATGAGGGGACAGCCATGAGCAGTGTCTCTATAGGCTCTGGGACATCTTTGGTCTGTATTTGTAGACTGTTGAGCCTCTTTATGACTGGGAGCTATTTGTTAGTGATTTTGTTGTAAGCCTTGGTTCTTTCCAGAGGGCAGAAGAATTTATTGCAGAGTCTTTGAAAGGACAAGGCTTTTGTCAGTAATTCAGTCCAAGAAAAACATTTGGTGGGGTGCAGTGGACAGCTGCCCTGCCATCTTACAAACCAGCATTCTTGGCCAGAGGAACAAGTCCCCCGAATGTGATTCCAATAAGCAGGGCCCCTTCTCTCACCCACATCCTCATGCTGTGTTAATAAACATCCTGAATGTGGGGCTTAATAAATTACTATATTCTCACTACTTACATTCTCATCGCACCACCGTGTACTAGTCCTGGAGGAGGGAAATGGGCTCATTTGAAAGATGTAAGGGAGAAATAGTTAAGGGGCAGGATTGTATGAAAGGAGAAAAATCCTTCAATATTTACAGTGTTTCTTGTACTCACACAGTACTTTTGTGGTCCTTGCTGGGCCCTCCTAAACTGATCATTAACAGAGCCTCTTTGGTAGGTTACTTTGATGCTGCTCAGGTAAAGCCTTAAGTGTGTTTTCGGGACAGTGTGCTGCTTGTTTCACTTCAGCCACATGTGTCTGTGTTTAGCATATTGTAATCTTTGCTATCCCAGTAGTGTCTCCCTTGGTGAATGAAGTGATTGTTGTCTTCCCTGTACCATCTGCCTAAGCAGAAAGATTGCTTCCAAACTTCTCTTATGCAATAGTCCTTGGTACTTCTAATATTTTTGGCAAGAGAAAATTTTCTATACTAGACTCTTCCACTGCCAGAAAACACAATGCCAGTACGATTCTACATAATATTGACCATCTGCTTAACAGTCTATATTTCCTTTGAATAGGACATTAACTTTTTATTATAAAGCTCAACTAATATAAGCAAAAATGACATCTAGAAGCACAGTTATAACTAGGATATTTAAAATTAATGTTTTGTAAAGTTGAAGGGTCTCTTTAAACTAGCTAAGTAGGTTTATATGACTTCATTTTGGCCATATTTCGGTACCCTGCCTTTTGAAAAGGAGAATTTTTTCAAACAAGCAACAGATGCTGAGAGACAATTGCGGAAGGCACCTGTTTGGAGTCCGGTTTTCTCAGCAGCAGCCTGACCTGTGTGTGTGCCATTTTATGTTAAACCCTGCAGAGGCAGTGGGGGAGATTGGAAGCCGTATTGAACTTCATGCAGAATAAAATTCATATGTTCTCATAGTTTGCCATGATTAATAAGACACTTTTTGTAGAATCAGCTAAATTTAATCCTGTTGTTAATGGACAAGTATCCACACTTCAGCTGGCACTGAGTTTCACTGCAAAATTAGCAGCTGGCTGAAAACTGACTAATTAGAAGAGACAGTTTCTTAGGGGCTGTGACTGTGACCCAGTTGAACTTGTGACTTATTGTAACTCTAGCCCTCCTGATGGCACCTTTCAACTCTAGAAATTCATACTTAAAAGGCAAAGCTTTAAAACCAGAGCTAGTCTATGCTGGTTATTGATGCAACTAAAATCTTGTATTTCTTCAGAAGGATCCACTGACAAAATACCACATTCCGGAGGCTGCGACCTCAACCTGTTGTGACCCTGTGGTCTGGGCGATTGGATGATTCAAGTTGTCAGGGCTCTTGAGCCTTTTCATTTGGTTACATTTGGGGTCTGATGTTAGACTAAAGGAAACCTAGGAATATTTATTTAATGTTAAGTTTAATATTAAATGTAACTGACCCAGCAACATTCAAGTGGACTTCCAGTGCCAACTCTGGAGGCTGTGGGCTAAACATTTTGCACTGTTTTTATACTTGTATTCCTATCCTCTTATCACCTCAGACTCTGACACAAGGCCTTTTAAATGGAAATTTTATAAATTACTGCCATTTATGTAAAATAACGTCCTGTGACCAAGTTATTTAAATAGAAAATAAAGTGCTTTCTTTAAAGAAAATAGCTGGTGTTTCTTGGTGTGTCTCCTGAATTCTTTTAGCTTTAAGAAAATCCTGCATTAGATCTCTGCTGCATCTCTGGCTACCTGTGGACCTTGTCCCTAGCCCTAAACTGCCATTCTCCTGGTGGTTATTTTTCCAGCTTTGTGGGTCAGAGATACTGCTTATTCAGGCATTATGTTAGCAGTAACATTTCAAACCATATCTACATGATGGTCCAGCAAGAAAGAACGTCGAAATTATTTTCCTTGTATCCCTTTGGAAGACTCTTTAAGTAGGTAAAAAGTCTGTTGGTCCAACTAGAATATGGGCTGCTTAATTTCTAGTTGATGCTTGAGGTTAGGCAGAAAGAAAAAGCTTAAGAAAAAACTTACGTAAGCTTTAGTGGGATTTATTCAGGCCCCTGGCATGTGGACTTAACAAATTTAACCTTCCTTAGCATTAAAATCAAATTGGTATTTGGCTTGTGGGTACTAACATCAGCCAATATTCTGTAACTGTAATGTAGTTAAGTATAAACAGACAGTGATTTAGACAGAACGATTAAGGGAAATTACTTTTAGTTACATTTTCTTTAGTGGCCATTACTCTTAAAAACACTTCTGAATTTTTAGACAACAACTTTGTAATCATAGTAAAGGAAAACTTATGGGAACAGTGATATTGTAGAAGAAATAAAGTTCAATTCAGATTATTCTGTCATATCTTAGTAAATCACATCACACATCTTCCATGAAAAAAGGATATAGTCATTTTGCAAGCAGAGCAGCCTGATGCCGCTTCTTGTAAGTACA